CGCTGCACTAAAGGGTGCGCACCCAGAAGTGCCCCGTCGATAGGGAAGTGAAAGGCCGCAATGGCTGTTGAGTACCCCCTGACTGTCGATGCGGCCAGGCCGGCATCAAGTCGTGATTGGACAGAACACCGAACTCTAACAGACTAGATCTGCAGAAAAGGGATCTGCAAGCCCTCTATCGACACACCAGCACGCATAGCAGGTCCATCTATCCACATATTGAACGTTTGTCGAAGCCAGTATTGTGTCTGCAAGTCGTGCAGGAATACCGTTCTTCTGGAGGCGATTCTGGACAGTGGTCAAGCCACCCACTGAATCCTGGGATTCGGGTGGAGTGCCCCATTCTGGGATAGGAGGTCCGGTCGTAAAGGTAATAGAACAGGAGGCTGAGCCAGAAACCTGAGTATTACGGGAAACCAACTCTGCGCCGACCAAAGAGGTGCCAGTAGCACAAGAAGCCGTGCAGGCTGAGTGGCTAGCTGAGAAAGGACCCTGGGAATCAGAGGACCTCAGGTTGGGGACTCGGGAGCAGAACACTGGTGTCTGGTGGTTCACCCCATACGCAAACAGATCCACCTGGAACGACCCGTATAATCGGGAGATAATCCCGAATATCCCTGGGTCGAGCATCCACTTGTGAGGAGCGAGGATCTGGCGAGACAGAGTGTCCACACGGACGTTGTCCACCACTGGGAGATAAACAGGTATCATCCTGATAGCGTGAAGGTCGCACCATAGGAGGAACTGCCACGTCTCTTGGAGAAGTGACGGAGACACCGTTCCCCCCTGCTTCGGGATGTAAGTCATCGCCGTTTGGTTGTCTATTTCTAGACGAACCACCTGGCCACGAAGCAGATCCAAGAAGCGTTGGAACACCAACCTGACCGCTCTCAGTTCCAGCACATTGATGTGCAGCGCGATCTCCTGCTGGGACCACAGTCCCGAGGCAGTGTGATCGTTGAGAACGCCTCCCCAGCTGGAGAGTGACACGTCTGTCTGAACTGTGAGAGACGGAACGGAAGTGTCGAGGGGGAGCCTCCGGGACAGATTCCCGTCCTCGGTCCACCACTGAATGTGTGGAATGAGCCACGCCAGGGTCACGAGAACCTTCTCAAGATCCTCCGAGTTCGCCCATAACCGACGTAACCCCTGCTGAATGGGTCTCATTCGCAAACGTGCTCGCCAAACCACATCCACTGTTGCGGCCATGTTGCCCAGTAACTGGAGCCATGTGCGAGCGGTGTGTCTTGTGGAAAGAAGGAACAGTGAAGTTACACTCCTGACCTTGACAATGCGGTCTTGTGAGAGGGAGACAAGTCCGCTCTCTGTGTTGAAATTCGCCCCTAAGAAGACCAGGGTCTGAGCAGGGTTCAGATCTGACTTCTTTAGGTTGACTATTCACCCTAGAGATACCAGAATGTCTAACACCTCTTGTGTAGCAATCTGACTCATATGATGAGATATCACTCGTAGCAGCCAGTCGTCGAGGTACGGATGACAGAACCGACCTTTAGACCTGGCCACCTGGGCAGGAATCAACATCAGCTTGGTGAATACCATCGGGGCCGTGGAGATCCTGAAGGGTAGAACCTGGAACTGATAACACCTCCCGTCGAAAAAAAACCTCAGGTATTTCTTGAACTCGGCGTGTATAGGTACATCGACGTCAGCCATTCCCCGGTCTCTACAGCAGAGATCACTGAGCACAGTGTCTCCATCCTGAAGGACGGTACCTCTATGAGTTTGTTCAATTTTCTCAGGTTGAGAATAGGTCTGAACACTCCGTCTTTTTTGGTGACGAAATAAGTCGAGTAGTAGCCCTCGCTTTCCTGTCCCTTTGGAACCGGTTCGATAGCAGCTTTGTCTAGCAGTGCTACGATCTCGGCATGGAGTATGTCTGCCTTCTCTCGGTTAGCGGGCACCGGTGTGCGCCTTATCCCGGAGAAGGGTGGCGGAAGAAGTTTCCACTGAGGCAAGTGGCCTTCCCTGAGTGTGGACATGACCCAGGGATTGGATGACACCTTCGCCAATTCCGACAGGAAGAGAAAGAGTCAGCCGCCCACGGGAACTTCCGGCTTCAGGCAATGAACCCCAATACAACAGTCAACAGCCCTAGGACTGGTAACTGTGGGGCAACCTGGGGCCGAATAGGAGCTATTTGGTTCCCAGCCCCACAAAAAGGCTGCTGGCCCCGGCCTGCAGTCTTGCCCCAGCCCTTGCCCTTCTTACCCATCCTGACGCCCTTGCCTGAAGGAAGCGGTTGTTTCTAAGCAGCCTGAGACTTCTGATCCGGCGCATCGGCATAGGAGGAGGCAAGGGGGGGAGCCCGCTTAAAAAATTTGGTGCTAGGCACCTCCAACAAGGCCTTAGAGTCCTTGATGGAAACATAGAGCACAGCGGCCTCCCTAACTACCTGCTGCGCCCCAGGGAAGAGGGTAGAACCCATCTTATACGGGAGCGCAAGTAGTTCTTGGCGTGTGGCACTGAGTACTTAGACACGGACATCCACAGCCGGCGCATGCCCATGACTGCTCACATCATATGGGAGGCGCAGCTACGAATAGCATCCGCCAGATGGCTATGAACTTCAGTGAGTTGGCCAGCCAACTCTGAAGAGTCGGACTGCCCCTCCCCATCAGGCTCCCGCTGCACCGCAGACAGGTACGCCGAGTGGACGGCAATACAGAGCTGTTGGCATGCATTATGATATTGCTCCTCGAAGCAAACGTAAGCAGCCTTCAACTCCGCCTGCCCTGCTTAGCCTTAGCCTTAGCCAAGCTGGAGGTCAAAGACCCTCCCAGGGTCACCGAGGTCCAAGCGCACTCGTCCACGACCGGCACCTCGATGTCACGGTCCTCTGCCAACAGGTACCTCCTATCAAGTTCAGGAAGATCGAACTTCTTACGGGCACCCGAAAGCAGGGGATCAATGACCTCGTGTACAAGTGAGGTCAAAATGCGGAGCCGCACCTGGGGTGCTTTGCTCGGAGCAAAAGCGTCCCCTGGAAGGCGGAACTCAGACGGATCTGACACGGGCATGGGGGAAGCCACCTGAGGCAGTACCTTGACAATTTTATCCCGGACATGCCTCAGCAAGGATGCGAAAGAGAAGCTCCCTGAACCCTCCGAGTCATCCCCTCCCTCCTCCATCCACTCCTCATCTCTCGACTCCGAGCCGAAGGTGGTCTCCGACTGTCCCTAGTCCGACACCGGGTCCCGGTCCCTAGGTGCTGGGGGTTCAAGGGAACCCACCTGGCTCACGGGCATGGATCCACTGGTCGAAGCCTGGGGCTCGAGAAAAGCCTCCGGCTCCACCAGGGCCCTCCGCTGGGGATCGATCGCGAACCGGAGCCGAAGCCCGGACGCAAGTCGTCCCTGGGGCCAAAGCAGCCTGCCACGGCCGACGCCGGGCATTCCACAAGGCCCCGCGGCCGCATCCGACGCTGACGTTCGGGGAAGCCCCGCCCGCAGCTCCTCTTGAAGCTGGGACTTGACATCCTCGAACATTGATGCCATTTTCTTGAGCAAGGAAAATGCAATAAGTGCCCCAAGGAGGATTTAATCTGAAAGAGAATTTGTATTTTATTGATGTTTATGAGAGCAAACAATTACGCTAAAAGGTAGCGAAAAGGCAAGGCTTTAAGCACGCCAAAAACAAAATACATAAATTTAATGTATTACCCAAGCCAAAGAAAGAATTCAAAACGCAGAACACGAAATTACGTGGCCACGTGGTGAGTGCAAAAATGGCGGGAAAGAAACAAAATGGCGGGAACAACATTGCGCCTGTAAATTACTGTGACTGTACCCCTGTAGCTTCGATGCAGTAAGTGCATCAAGGAGTAATGAAGGATAAATAGATTTTATATTTATTTTAAAATATATATTTAAAGCTCCAAATACAATAACATTGGAATATTGGATATTGGAATAATAAAATAATAGTTTCAGACACTGTTTCTTCCGATTATTGTATGAAGTTTCTTATTAGTGATATTTATTGGGTATCTTTTAACTGAATCACAGGTAGATTGGAAGAAAATGTATGTACAGATGACTGCTATTTCCGGCTTAGTTAACAAGACAATTACACACTGTGTTCCTAATCTCTGCATTTTAAACAATGTCCAGCATGACAAGAAATACAATTGAAATGGTAAATCATCATGACTAGTGATATTTGATATGTTATCTCCTGCATGTTCATTCATCTGAAGCTTTACAATGGAGTTTTACAATGCACAATACTCAAATAGAATATACTTACAAAAAGTGCACTATTCACAAACATAATATGGTATCATCCGACCTAGATTCCATAGTAGGTAGAAATTGCGCTGACAAAATGAATGATGTAACCATTTCAAATCAGATATAATCATTTTATAGTTTTTGAGGAATTAAAAATTGAACGAATTTGTATGAATGTACGTGGTAGTGTACACAAAGATGGTGAAAAATCGTAGTTTCACTGGTTGAATGTTGAAATAAAATTAATTGTGATAGGTCAGTCAACTTAAACTTGGTGGTGCAGGTAGGTAAGAGAACTACTGCCTATGCAGGCCTCTTACTGTATATTTTTATGTGCCATTTAATAAAATTATGCGGGCATTGCACATGGCACATAACTTTCCCCATCACTAATTGCAGCAAATGACTTGGGTCTTTTCAGGACACACGTTTTATTTTTCGTTTCATGGGCACGCCGCCCCTACTGAAAAGCAGTTGGTCTAAGAAATAAATTAAACATACAAATATTTATTTTTATAATGTATCCCGCTAGTAATATAGACCCTCTTATACAAATACAAAATGTCAGATATAACTTCTGTGTTGACATCACTATCAGTGATTCAAGAGGCCACCTGCAGTTTTAACTCCCTGGCTTTCATATCAATTTCTAAATGATTGCCATTTATTTCTATTGTTATTCTGACTGACCTTGTGTGGAAAAACTGGACAAAATCAGTGAAACATGAAACTAAAAATGTGTGGCCTTACCTGAACAGCAATATAGAGCCCCGGAACGTTGAAGGATTCAAACATGATTTCTGCTGTATATTCTCTGTTCTCTGGAGTATTCAGAGGTGGCTCAGTCTGTAAGAGAACATTCCTATTCAGTAAATACATTGATTGTCACTAAAATCATGCCCCACTGAAAACAATGCATACACGATGACCACTGAGGGTAATGCTTCTTCTATCATCTTTAGCACAGACCTTCATGTGATTGGCTGAGGCGTGCACGTGAGCCACTGAACCAGAGAGTTCAGTAGCGTAATCAGGATTAATCTGATCTAATTCAATAAATCAAACAAGGAATAATGTTTTTGTATAAAATAGAGTAAACTAGGGTTATAACGTACTCAAAGGGGCAACTAATTTTATTTCGTTATAACCGTAGTTTGTTATAAGCATTTCGATATGTCCTATGTTTATTAATCTCATAACTGACATAAAATACATAACAAGTAAACACACGTCATACATATATTATTGACACAGTTTCATTGACATACGGACACAAAAGTCACTTGTCACTTGCTGTTGGAGGATGAAAGATAGTTATATTCAAAAAAAATTTTTGTAGGAACATTAGTTTTTAGTTAGGGACTGTTCATTTACTATAGGGAGGGCATGGTGGGGTCTTAATTTGAGAAATTTCTTACAAATTACAACCATGAGAACCATGTTAACTGATAATTTGGCTTTGCGATTTACTAGGAGACATATACAATTCTACCATGAATTTGGAAATTACTTGATTCTGATTGATCAATCAGAGGTTGATAAATCACAATAATAAACCCCCTCTGATTGAAACAGCGAAGTTGACGGCCACATCACCATGGAAGCTAATATTCATAGTAAAGTACTTTTTTCAGTCATTGTCGGTAGGCATATTCAAATAATTATATCTACAATTACAACAACATTCAAAGGATGTGTGGCAATACATTTCATGTAGAAAACACAATAGAAATCTAGAAAGAGAATTTAATTAAAATTTTGGGGAAAACAGAGAGCTTGGAATTTGGTGCTTTTCTATATACAACTGTAACGGCATATCTTTTGTGACAATGAGCGATATGACGTCAGTATGGTGAAGTGCGGTGTAGAACAAAGGCTTTGCTTAGTTTTCTTTAGGGGTGGCCACCTGATGTAAGTTTACCGTGTAGAACAAAGGCTTTGCTTAGTTTTCTTTAGGGGTGGCCACCTCATTAAGTTTACCGTGTAGAACAAAGGCTTTGCTTACCGTATTTTCTTGAGTATAGTGTGTACCCATGTATAATGCGCACCCCCCTAAAAAAATATATTCGAATACAAAGCGCAGAAAAAAAATCACATTGTACCCCTTTAGCAAAGTCCGGCAAACAAACGGGTGATGAGAAACTTGGTCAGTACAAATTCTATATTTGAGATAAAAAATCACCAGACATGTTGATTTACCGTTTAAATTGTATTTTTTGTTCTGCTAGGCATTGTTTTATATCCAGGGATTAAGATTACTTTGTGTATTTTCTCGTAAACTAAGCCGGACACAGCAATCAGCTGTACACACGTTTTCTACCGGTGATTTGGTCAAGACACACCCAATGATATAACTTTATAGGATTTTAATGCAAGGATCGGCAAAAATGGTATCTGAAACTATTTTTTTATCAGGAATAATATATTCCAATATCTTGTTAATTTAGATGCAGCTTTTACTAAACATATTAAAAATAATTATAACCCTAAGCGAAGCAGCTGATCGCTATTGCCGGGTATTATTTTTTACATGGAACCAGTCTGACCAGTCACCGTCAAGGCTCCCGTGCACGTGATCGCGCGATCGCGAGAATTACGTGTTGACATCGAATCGTCCAACAAAAATGACTTTTAAGGAGTCACAGTATGGCATTTATGATATATGTATCCATTCTCTGTCAACTAAAGTTCCTTTCAAGGCGTCAATAGCGGTAATCTGACCGTGGTTGCTGTTAATAACGGTGGGTTGTGCGATTTTCCGATCGCTTCACACACGATTTCGCCGAAATTAATTAAAACAATATTAAAAGGAATTTTGAATAACATTAATAAAATAAGTTACAAACATAAGTCCAGATATACAAAGAACACTTTTTATAGCCAGACAGTGTAATTACATGATTAATTTGCGTACTTCAGTATGGATTTGTTGACATGGTATTTCCGGTGTTACGTGCTCGCGGTAATGTCTTTCCATGGGGGAATAAACATCAAAACTCATTAATTTGTGTATAATGCGTACCCCCTTCTACACAGCTGTGTTTTTTGGAAAAATAGTGTGCACTTTACTCAAGAAAATACGGTAGTTTTCTTTAGGGGTGGCCACCTCATGTAAGTTTACTGTGTAGAACAAAGGCTTTGCTTAGTTTTTTTTAAGGGTGGCCACCTCATGTAAGCTTACCAAAGTTGCCGTGCTTATATGCTCTCAATGCCTGTCAACAAACTGCTGGAGCATATTACAGCGCCATATTTTGTAAAAATAGACAGACATGGGGACTAAACCCATGCTGCGTCACTCAATATATTTGTTAACAACAAAGTGTTTGTGTTTTATTTAGTCATGGTAGAAAGGAGATATACATACTGTGTTTTCAATGTAGATATTTTTTATATTTGTATACTTATCCTGCATTACATCTTAATGCATTTACTGCTTGTTCTTGACAGAGAAAGAGCCATGTGAGGTCTTACTGAAAGAAGAAGTTGAGTGGCTAACCCTATCATACAGCTCCTACGTGACCACAGAAGGGGTGTCATCACTGATCAGCAAATTACTGCTAAAAACAGAGCATCTGAAGAAATCAGGGGAGGCAGTTCTGCCACAAGTGGGCCACTTTAGACGAAGTAATGCAGAATAAGTACACAAATATAATAAATATATAGGATTTTACTAGATTTTCTAACTTATCCTGTCCTTAACCATTCCTGTCTTAAGGAAACGAGAGTCAGGTATGCGTGATGTCCAGGTATCAATGCAGTCACAGAAATTAAATGAACTCAAAGTCTAAAACTGATGTACAGAGCCAGAGCTGAGCTGCATGTAACCTTCTAGTTTGGGGTGACATGCACCGGAGAGGCCAAAAGGGAGGTTCTTGATATGTGGAAGTGTTAGTGGTGTCTTGGATCGGTGACCTGCTGGGCAACAACCAAATGGATAAAGCTGTAGATGCCTTCCACGTCTTCTAGGGCGACACCTCGCAAGTAATGGCTGTCAATGACTGTCCGAGCGCCAGAAGCAGCCTTCCATAATGGCGCGGATGAAGCAGTTACTGTGAAGGGCCATGGTAGAGACGACCGCCCAGATCTCATGCGGGTTGTTGGCTCTTTGGGGATCCAGGCCTGAAGAATGAAGGGGCGAAGCCACAGGGAGATTGTGTTGCCGTTGACTTCCATCTGCAATGTCGTAGATAAGGCGGCGATGTTGTCCTCGACGATTCTTGGAGCGTAGAATGAAGCATCGCAGCATCCGCACAGGATATAGTAGGAGTTCCTGTTAATGTTTCTCCTGCAGTGGTAGAGAAACTAACATTTTTGGTTTACTAGTCCTGTTAATGATAACATATAGCAAAACCCTTAAAAATGGCAAATTTCTACTAGTCCTTATGATACCTTAACTATTGGGCAGTTTGGCACGGACTACAGGACTAGTGCCAATTTCTAACGCTGTCCTGGCAGAAAATCTTGAAGGAGAACCACTTGTCGTCATAAAGGCCCCTGGTAGAAGGTCTGTGCGCCAAGGTGATTGCCTTCACCACCCTTGCCGAGTAACCATTCGCGCTTTTAGCCTTCTGGAGCCAGCAGGTTTGCCAAATCAGATAGTTCGAGGGGCGGACATCTCCTTGAGACCAGCCTCTCACCGGCCACCGGCGATCAGCGCAAGGCTCTGGGTCGACCTAATCTTTTGAAGGACTCTGGGAAGAAGCACTGAAGGTGGAAAAGTGTACACTTTTAGTCCTTCCCAGAGGACGCTGAGGGTGTCGACTGCCCAAGACAGAGAGGATGGAGATGGACTGGTCCTGCCGCCTAATGTAGGGAGCAAGGCACATTTGTCTGGAGCGCAACTGAAGCGTTCCTCTGGAGGTGAGGTGAGGCACTGACGTGAGTAGACCCAGAAAGGCCTGCCACTGACGCAGAGTGGCGGTTGTTGAAGAACAGGGAGTAGGTGGTGTTGGATTCGGTGCCACCTGTCCCTGGGTACAGAGAGGTGATCTCAGTCGGTCTGGAAGAGGCCTCTGAAGAATTGGAGATTGAAAGGAGGTGTGAGTTCCAACTCAATATATTGATGATCCATTCCAATTGATGTAGGAGACATTGAGTCAAGTCCCTGTGGCAGATGAGCGTGGCCGTTCCTGTTGGTTCAGTAGGCAGTCATTGCTGTACGCCTCAAAATGCACATTCCTCAGATGGAGGTAGGTGGTTATTGGCTTGGTGATGCATGTAAACAGCCACAGGGCCAACTCCAAATGGGAGCACCGCCCATTGACAATGGATTCCATTGAAGATAAAACGGAGGGATTTCCTGTCACTTGGATGGATCAGCAGGGTAAGATATCTAGGTATATCCTTGATATCTAGGCTGATCAATGAGTCGTGGGCCTAGATCTTGGACCTTGAGCAGCCTGAGTGTGGACATCCAGAAATAAGGTGGACGCTCCTGGTAACGCTTGTTGAATGTAACCTGTCCTTCTGGGGGACAAGGAATATTGACAAGTTGAAGCCTGGTGTTAGAGCAAGGGAGTGGATAATCTCTATGGCCTCCTTGGCCAGCAGCATGTGGACATTGGAGAGAAGGAAGTGCTGTTGTGTAGGCGTCTGCTATGGGTGACGACGTCAGAGGGGGTCGTCTCTTAAGAGTGTGTTGATACCAGTGGCACAGGATGTCGACAACGTATAGGTACCCCAGGATGTCCTATTTTCCCACATATAGGGGTCTCGATGATTGGAATGACTGGGGAACGGAGGTCCCAGTCGTTGGTGTCCAAATCATCAACATTTAGCCTTGCGTTCTCCACTCCCTCCATGTGAACTGTCAAGGCGTGGCTGGTAGGTTCAGGTGGATTTTCCTT